ACAGAGGCTGAGGCACGCAAGTAACGGCGGAGGGCCGCAACTGAACACAAAAATGATGCACCCCCGGCCCGACCAACCAAGCATCCACAACCGAAGGACCACTCCGGAAAGCAGCAGTCTCAATCACGGCCTGAAAAGAAGTACACAGCTGCAGACGAACAACCTATCACCATGACCGAATGAGCAGAAAACCCCTGCGCCGGAGGAGAGTATGAAGCCCACCGACTTGACCCCTAGAGGCCAACGCCACCAGGAAGGCTCAGGCAGCGCACGAGCAGGCCGGAGGTGAACAACGCACAAGACAGCATACGAAACGGCATAGACGTAACACCAATATCCAAAGCAAGCTGAAGCGGCTCCGCCAGCGCCGCAAGATACGAGGCAACAGTATGGGGCAAGATGACGGCCCCGAACCTCCACAAAAGGAGGCCAAGACCATGTCAACAAATGCAGCTACCAAAGAAGGGACAGAAGAAAAAGGAAGGACCACCAAAAAAACCCACACTGCCGCCAAGAAGAAACATGCAGGTGGGACACCATGAATGAAACCACCCAACCATTAATAGAAGGCGAGAGACTCGAGGCAGAAACCGAACCAGCCCCGTCATGGGCCAATCGAGCTTAGGAAGAGGCGGAGCCGCGAGAAGATCTCTGGTGCGACCATGGAGCCAGCAGAGCCGGAAACCCAAGCTGGCAGAGGAGATGGAACGCCTGCTGTACAGAAAAAATCTCAACACCAGCGAGTCCACCTGGAGATCAGAGATGACAGCTCTGACGCGAGACTCCAGAGAAGGGACAACATGAGACCGTAAAATGCCAACAGGCAGGGAAGCCAGGAAGGCACAAACAAAACACACAACAATGTGTAGCTAACGGAATGAAAGGTGCAAAGGTATGCCACCAGACCAGTACCCGAACCAAGGAGTACGAGCGACAAGGACAAGATCACCACATTCCAGATTCGCAAAGGAATCGATAGGGTAGAGAAAGACCGATTACGAGACCCCAGGGGCACAGGCACCAGGGGACACCAGTGGAAGGAGAGACCAATGAGCCAGAGAAACGTTGGAAAGAAGGAAGCAGTGACAGAGTAGGAGCCAAACGGAACGCATGAGGAAGCGATGTGGTGGAGGATGACACCACACACAGGTCCCAGCGGAAACACGATAGAGCCCAGCACAGGAACCCGCACATCAGTGAATGACAGGTGAGAAGCGGGACCAAAAAGCCAGAGCTCAACTTCCACAAACACAACTAGGGAAGAACAACTAGGGAAGCACAGAGAAACCAATGTATACGAAAGGGCAAAGGCAGGCACTGGAAGACGGGCCAAACAAAACCCCACAACGAATCCCCAACACACAACCACAGTAAGAAAACTGCAGCAAAATGTCACCTCATAACATCCTGACACAGTAATATTTACCCCATAACATACACCCCCATGATCGTACCTCATAACCTGGTGGAGGTAGGGCCCTGTGCCGGACTCAAGCATGGGCTGTGCATGCATAAGAGTGGGACTGGATGGGTATAAATAGGAGCTGCCTCATAAAACCCAAGAGGCCTGCTGCAGTCACCTGTGTTCCGATGTTCGTATATTCGTAGCCAAAAACTACAAACCAGCGCCTGGTTGAAAGAGACACCAGACCGCAGAAACTCACCTGCAGAACGTAGGCATGAACATGTCACGACACAACGTATCCGAGAAGATGTCGGGAGCAATGCCAGTGAAAGAAGGCAAAGCCGCACATACAGGAGAAGAGTAAGGGAGAGGCGAAGGAGGAGCCCCACACCCATACGCAGGGAAAAGCCGGCATTCTCCCCATAGCGGCAATCCAGAACACCCCCAGTAGCCACGGGGCATGGACTGGATAATAAAGAGGAGCGAGAGGCGAAGCACTTGAGAGAAAAAGACGCAGAACACCAGTACATGTTCACACTGGCCACATCAAAACCAACTACCACGGCGCATGCGCAGGCAGGGATGCCAGATGTGGGTCGCGAGAAGTCGCTAGCCGATAAAAGAAAAACCCAAAATTGACTAGAAAACTAGACAAAATAGTGTTGTTAACGATTGAATCCCTTTTCAAAGCACACAAGGCAGCCGTGAACAGTAGACGAAAAGAGCAGTAAGGAGCAAAACATACATAGCATAGCCCTTCTGTGGCTACAAGAAGACCAATCTGGCAACTCTGTGCAGTGCAGGACAGTGCACGAAGAGAAAAAACAATCATGAAAGAACGAAACAGGACTGAAAACCGAGAAGAAGCACGGAGGACCAACAAGCCCTAGAAAGGAACGGAGGGGAGCCACATCGGAAGACAACAGACGTTCCAATAATACGGGACAAAAACTTTCCCGAACCTTCGAAAACAAAGAGATGCAAGCGTAAAACCCGAAGGCACAGAAGGCTCAGTCGCACTTGAGACCAAAAGTCATGTAGAACCTTGAGAAAAGGGGAACATGATGGGGAAGGCCCATCACAAGAAGAAGGGTGAAGAAACGTATCCACCGACAGGACAGAACCAATGGATCCAAGGGACAAGGAACCGAACCCGGGGAGGGGTCGACTCCCAACAACACGGACGAAGAGGGAAGAAAAACCCCACTCCTCATAACCGCAAACCCTGCCCAGAGGGTAGAAAAACCCAGGCAGGGTCCAACGGGATACGAGGTCCCCCAAGTCAGCCCCTCACCAGCCCCGGGAACCCACAAGGCAGGTCCTGGGGCCGAGCCATCCCCCTAAAGCCCAAGCCACACAAGGAAAGCTGGGAAAACTGGAAAAGTACTAAGGAAGGGAGCCTACTGGCAGACTCATACAACACGGCTGGAGGAACAGGTTCAAATGCCCCCGTCGGTACCCCGGAAGGAGAAGTCCCCCCAAGACCTCCTGAGTCTCAAGACTACCGAAGCCCCGTCCCGACTCCGAACCCACAGACGATAAGGATCCGGATGCAGGGAGGGAGGGAGCGCCAAGTCAGCTATGTAAGCTCCGGGGAGCCTCCCGGTCACACCCAGAAAATGGCATTTCATTACATTCAACACTGGTGTTTTTTATCGTATATGATGCCCATATTTGTGTCCTTTACAATATGTATACAGTAGAACGTTCATAATGTTCCCCCATAACCGGGGAAAAACAAGGGGGAGCAGAAGGAAACAAAATGGAAGCAACCAACACCCCCTAAGCCCCGACACACCAACGAAAAGGGGGCAGCCTCAGGGCTTCCGGGGAGCAAACTACCTAGCGTGTTGTCACCAACAAAACGCAATGCGCAACGCCCGTGCTGCCTGTACCCGCATAGTCCACATAAGACTGGATAACCGAGTCACAAACAAGCAACAAAACTCGTTAGACTCCGGGCCGTAGGTGCCACCGACCCCACAGGCAGCAGACGGAGGCAAAGACAGTGAGAGTTACCCTGAGACAAGGAGACCGAGCAACCCTCGAACTTGCACAAAACGAGGGAAGATTCCGGGGTCACATCCATCGAACCCATGCATCCCCGTGGGGATTCCCAGGGCCCCAAGACAGAATCACGCTCAGGGAAGCTCAGACAGGGTACTGCTAACCAGCACCCAAGTTTACCAAACAACTTTCTAAGAACTTAACCCCCCTGGGATGTGTACACTCATGAGGACCTAGCAAGGGAAACCACCAGAAGAAGGAAAAGTACTCAGTACACAGGGGGCAAGAACCAAGGCAGACCCCCATCAGGCAGACAAACAAAAAGAAAAAGAAAACCCCGCAAGAGGGCAGCGTACCCAAGCGGAACAGAGCCAACCGCAATGATTAGTGAAAACAAGCTGTGCAGTACCCCACGCCCCTACCAGCGCAAAACTGCCCCTCACCCTAAGGCGAACAAGGGAGACAGAAAACCCTAGTACACAAACGGCAGCTGAAAACCAAGCAGTAAACGGCCTAGCAGAGGCAGAACCCAAGGAACTTGGGGAAGGTAACACCCCAAGTCCCAAGGGCAGTACTTACAAGACACCTATGGAAGGAAACCCCTAGGCACATGCAGCCCGAGTACTGGAGAATCACTCTTGGCTCACGCACCACCTAGTAGTCACCACACACACTAGGTACAGTGCTGAAACAACCACTGGAGCCAGGGCGGTGTTGCGCAGACAGCAGCGCGGCGACGTGTCATGTCATGCTCATTTGCTTGTTTCTTTTAGGGGAGTTCTATCCACTTGTTCGGCTTTTGGTAGTAATATTTTCACCAGAATAGGGGTTGGTTTTGGAATGCTTACCTTTCTGGGTGCCAGACCCCAGTCGATGACAGACATAGAATGCTTCCAACCACACAGGGGGTTTCTATAGGCCACTGCTCCCAATGCCTCTCTGAGGGGGCCAGGTTCTGGCTCGTGGTCCCCGGTAGGCCCACAGAACTCCATACACATGACTGATGCCAAAGTCTGACATTAGCATATCAGCCTAGTGAGCTCTGGGGAGCTGATGGGGCTTCCCCACAAAAAAAAATAAATAAATAAAACCACATTGGAAATACATAGAACAAATAATTGAATATATATTTGTGGCAACACCCGGTGCTTGAATGACCCGTGCGACCGTGTCTGGGCGTGTCACACACGGGCGACCAGCCCCTGATGACATCACAGCGCACCTTGTCCATGTCCCCACAGCCAAAGTAAGTGGAATTTGGTATTTATTTTTACATAGACATGTTCAGGGAAGGGAATTTATCATTTTACAAAGAAAAAAGAATTTTGGGGAACGCTTGATTTCATGCGCACAGGGGGAATGTCACAATAAACTCGGCGCATCACAGTGGTTAAAGATGCAAGGGAGTCACTGGAGAAAAAATAAAGCTTGGATTGGCCAACAGATGGAATACTAGAGACAACTTTAAGATAATTAACTAACTGGGATAGAATCCCTTACTCTAACTCATTTACTGCAACATTAAAGTATGATTTGTTCATTAAGATTCACTCCCCACTAATTATAATAACTGGTTGTTGACACTCACCTTTCTTCAACTGGAGGCCATTTTAAGTATTTATCACATTGGCTGAGGAGGAAATCAGCAAACTTCAAAACAACATCAAAGTATCTAGAAGCCTTCACTTTAAACCTGCAGATAAAGTAATGTTAAATAATATTATCAGCATGTAATATCCTGTTCAAAATAGGGTACAGCAAAACTGTTAGAAAAAATCTTGCTAGAGCAAAATCCTGCCAAAACCATCATAGAATGTAACAAAATGCATCTTTCTGGTTGGGCCTTGGTTGTTCTCTATGTCTAGTTGGACACAGATAGCTCAACCGGAGAGAAGAGGTAAATGAACCCTAAATCTCAACTAGACCAGCTGAAAACAATCCACCATGAGAGCAATATAATGAGGGTAATAGAGCCATGGAAGCCAGAAGCCAGTGATTCCATGTTGACATGAAGAGGTGACCGACTAGCAGGGCCAAAGGAAGGACACATTGTCGACAGTCCACGTGGAAATGGAACAAAAACAATAAAGACTATTTATGAGAATGTTGGACTCAACGAACAAGTGAACTGCACACAGAATTAAATCCCAAGAATCAAATTATGAGAATACAACAGCTGAGCTTCCTGCAGAGGTCAGCTCCAAAGAGGAAGAACTGTAGTGACCAGTGGTGCAGTGTTGCCGGATCTCGCTGGAGCGCCCCTCCGGCACCTCTGCAAGTGGATGATTGAATTGGGGAAAGGGAGAGGATGAGGGGAAAGGGAGATGATGGCTTGTGGGTGATAGTTGATAATGGCAGATAAATATTAGTATTACATCACTAATAAGTTAATAATGTTTGATATTTCTTCGTTTTTTTTTTAAAGACCCAATAATATTTAAATTTTACCTGAAATGTGAAAGTGATAAGGAAGGTAATCCCCATTTCATGTTCTTAAAACTAATTTAACTACCTGATCAGAAAGCAGAAACTATTGCTAGGCATCTATTGAGCTGTCTCAATTATCATGGGTTTGATGACTTATATTTGAAACAGAACCTTGTAACATTTGCTAGTGATGGGGCAAGTGTCATGCTTGGTGTCAAATCTGATGTTGCAACCATTCTCATGGAACATTACTATGATATAATAATCTGATATAATAATCTGGCACTGTCTTAATCACAGATTAGAATTTGCAGTAGGTGATTCAGTGAGAGAAGTTCATGGAATAATTAATTTTCAAGCATTTATGGACAAATTGTACTCAGTTTACAGTCAGTTGATCACCTCTAAATCAAAAGGAACTACCTGTATCTGAATGTGCCTCTCAACTTGAACAACAGATGTACAAAAACCAGTGTTGAATGTAATGAAACGCCATTTTCTGGGTGAGACCCGGAGGCTCCCCGGAGCTTTACCAGCTGATATGCTAATGTCAGACTTTGGCATCAGTCATGTGTATGGAGTTCTAGGGCCAACCGGGGACCACGGCCAGAACCTGGTCCCCTCAGAGAGGCAAGAGGAGCAATGGCCTATAGAAACCCCCGTGTGGTAGGAAGCATTCTATGTCTGCCATTGACCGGGTCAAGCATCCAGAAAGGTAAGCATTCCAAAACAAACCCTATTCTGGTGAAAATTGCTACCTAAAGCCGAACTAGTGGATAGAACTCTTCAACAGAAAACAAGGAAACTAGTATGACGTCATACGTCACCGCGCCGCTGTCTGCGCAGCACCCCCTCCCCGGGAGGGGGAAGGGGGAGCCCCAGACCTCCCACGCCGGCTATCCACCCATCAGTTCTGTGGCTGGATGTCAAAACACGCGAAAAACCGCCGACCAAAGGGAGGGAGGGTTGCCGGGCAGCCTCCGGGTCTCACCCAAAAAATGGCGTTTCATTACATTCAACGCTGGTTTTCTGGGGGGAGGCCTGTTGGCTCCCAGGAGCTAACTACCCACAGAGGAAGGTCAAAGGGACAGAACCGGGAGGCGGACACCACGCACCCCCCACGGAGGCGAGACAACCGGCAGCAAACGCCAACCGAAGGCGCCACAGCCCCGAAAAGTCCCGGGAACAACACGAGAACAACGAGCAGCAAGGCCCCCGCACGAACACCAAAAATCCATGCCCGAAAGACCGCAAGGCTACGTTGCCCAGACGGCAGCGAGAGCAGCGAAGCCACGAACGCCACAGGCATGAGGGAAGAACGCAGGAAGCTTAGCCGCAAGAACACGGCTGACCATCCGGGACATCCGGGGGAGCCGGTCGGCCGAGCGGACAGCACACTGGACGTATGATCCTGTGGTCCTGGGTTCGATCCCAGGCGCCGGCAAGAAACAATGGGCAGAGTTTCTTTCACCCTATGCCCCTGTTACCTAGCAGTAAAATAGGTACCTGGGTGTTAGTCAGCTGCCACGGGCTGCTTCCTGGGGGTGGAGGCCTGGTCGAGGACCGGGCCGCGGGGACACTAAAAAAAAGCCCCGAAATCATCTCAAGATAACCTCAAGATAACACCATCACCCGCGAACCGGGAAGAACAGAACCGAATCAACGCAAAACGCGCTCCGGACCCCAAACTCCGTGGCACGCGAACAACAGCGGAGGGCCGCCACTGAACACAAAACACGACACACCCCCGGCCCGACCAACGAAGCACCAACAAACCCTGGACCCCTCCAGAATGCAGAAGCCCCACCCCGCGCCAGAAAAGATGGAGACTGCTGCCATCAAACAACCAAAACGCTAAAACCGAAGGAGCAAGAAAACTCAGCGACTCGACCCCCAGAGGCAAAGGCCCAAAGGAAAGAGCCGACGAAAAAACACACCGGAACCGAAGGGGCACTACCAACCGAGGAGAAGACAGAGCACGCTGACCAGAGACCAGGATGGTGCAAGCGGCGCACGAACAGGCCGGAGGTGAAACGACGCACAAGACAGCTGACTAACGGTGCAGAAGCAACACCAAGACCGAAAGCAAGCTGAAGCGGCTCCGCCTGCGCCGCACGAAAAGAGGCGACAGTATGTGGCAAGACGACGGCCCCCAACCCCCACTAGAAAACCAAGCCGAGAGTAAACCAAGCGAACAAGAGTAACCACCTAAGAAGGGACAGGAAAAGGAAGGACCGCCAAAATACCCCATACTGCCACCAAGAGAAGCACGCAGGTGGGACACCTACCACGAAGCCACCCGACCACCAACCGGAGGCGAGACCGCGAGGCAGAACATAAGCAGCCCCGACAAGGCCCCTCCGAGCCCAGGAAAATGCGGAGCCGCGGGAAGATGTCGGGCGCGACCACCGAAACCCAGGCGGCACAAGGAGATGGAACGTCTGCCGATGGAACAATGGGCCGGAACTGCTATACGAAAACAGGCTAGTGTGCCCTGGAAGTCCACGGACGAACCAACAAGAAGGCTTATGTTCGCAAGTAGGTCGTGTAACAAGCACAGACCTCTGATGGTAATACAGTGTTCCCCAATTGTGCCAATAGCACCACTGCACTCCACTGGTACTATCCCGCAAGTTCTACCAGATAGGCGGGACCCAAGAGCCAGAGCTCAAACCCTGCAAGCACAGCCAGGAGCCTTACCAGGTGAGTACAGATCCAACCCTACAACCCCCACACCCCTCAACATTAAAAAAGGTGGGTCCCCTGTATGACTCCAGCATGGGTTGGACATGCACATGAGGGGGACTGGAAGGGTTGAAAAAGGGACAGTCACTGGTGTGCGAACGGTCTCAGTCGTACAAAAATATACCTAAATAAAGACAGGTATATAAACAACACCGCATCCAGCGCCCGGCCAAAAGACGCCAGACCGCAGAAACTCACCTGGCGAATGGTGGCACGAACTTGACACCAGAAGTGCCCAGAAGAACCTGGGAGCACAGCCAGGTGAAGACGCCAGAGCCGGACCGTGCCGGACCCGCAGGAGAGCAGGGAGAGGCAAAGGAGGCGGTCCACACCCATGACACAGGGAAAACCGCGGTGTCCTCCCCACAACTGGGAACCAGGACACCCCCGGAGCGAAGGGGCACATACCGCAGCCAGGGAGAAGAACGAGAGGCGAAGCACGGTAGCAAAAAAGAGTGCAAAACACCAGCACTGAAACACCGCCCAGACCAAAACAAACTCCACGGCGCATGTGCATAACACGCTGGCCGAACCACACACCCTCTCTGCGGGAAGGCGCCAACCAGGACTGCTGCACGAGAAAAGTAGCCAAAAGAGGAAGGAGGAACAATAAAACTGGCCAAAGAAGCAAAGAGCCCAAAAAGGAACCCAACCGGGCGACAAGTAGCCCAACAGGGCGAGAAGTAGCCCAACAGGGCGACAAGTAGCCCAACAGAGCTACAAGTAGCCCAACCGGCTCACAAGTAGCTCAACCGGGCCACAAGTAGCTCAACCGGGCCACAAGTAGCCCAAAACGGCGACAAGGACGAGGAGCTGACAGACGTTCCAATAATGCGGGAACTAGCGAAAACCTTCCCGAACCCTCGAGAACACAGAAGCCAACACTAGTCCCGAAGGCACACGAAGGCGCAGGCGCACCCGAGATCAGAAGTCACGCAGAACCCCATCGAACGGGGAAACATGACAAAAACACCGTCCCAAAAAGGGGGGGAGGAAACATCCACCCACAGGACGGAACCAACCGACTCAAAGGCCAAGGAACCGAGCCCGGGGAGGGGCCGACGTCCAACAGCACGTACGGCGAGTGGGGAGGAAAGGTCCCACTCCGCGTAACCACAAGCCCCGCCTAGAGGGGGGATAAAAAACCCCCACGGGGTCTAACGGGGCCAAGGCCCCCCAAGTCAGCCCCTCCCCAGCCCCGGGAACCTACACGACAAGCCCCGGGGCCGAGCCGTTCCCCAAAAGCCCCGGCCGTACCAGAAAACCGGGGCAGCCGTGAAAACACTAAGGAAGGGAGCCCACTGGCAGACTCAAACAACATGGCTGGAGGAACAGGCTCAAATGCCCCAGTCACTACCCCGGAAGGGGATTTCCCCGAGACTGCCCGAGTCTCAACGCCATCAAAAACCCTGCCCCGAACCTACAGACAATAAGGAACTGGATGCAGGCAGGAAGGGGGATCCAGGGAAAAGACAAGGGGGCGTGGATGGAACCGAAGCAACCAACGCCCCCAAATCCCAA